TTCCCAGTGGGGAGCTGGGCCCCCCCGCGGCCAGGGGCTGCTGCCACCAAGCAGCCCCTTTTCGTGGCAGCCTGAGCTGGCTGTGCACAGGAGCTGCTGGACTCAATGTGAGCCAGGACCGAGCAATGCCGGCCCACACTGCTCCAGGATACTGTGCCTCTGCATTTTAAATGTAGTAAGAGCCTGGAGGCTTTTACTGCATTTTAAATGCAGAGACACAGTGCAGGTGGCTCCCGGTGTCAGCTTGAGTAGCGACTGCTCAGTCTCAACTGGAGTCAGCACCTGGAGCTACTCGTGCTGTGGGTATGTTAACTACAATTTGTATCCACTACACAATTAGTCAGATAACTACAATTTCATATTTCTAACTGAAATACTTCTCTGATGGATAACTACTGAAGGACAACCTATCCTAAACACTCAATTACTGAGGCACAATTTACACTCATTGCGATGTTTGTTTTTCTACCTCCCTCCCTCTCTCCCCCCACCTGCTCTCTCGTGCTCTCTCTCTCTCCCCTCCCCCTCATTTTTGACAAGTGATGTTCCCAAATATTTGGATGCTAAAATTTAAACTGTACTGTTAAATTTATACACCTAAATTTGGATTATTGCTGGTTATGTACTAGATATATTATTGAACAAGGAGTTTGGTGGCACTTTAAAAGACTAACAAATTTATAAGGGTATTTTTAAACCAAACTTTGTACTGTTGGACAATTTAAGCACTATACCCAGAAGTGCCAGCATTCCTTCCTTATCCTGTGTATTATCTAATTTTAACATTTGTTTTAAGAACAGATTTTAAAAAACTATTATTGTACTGTAAATGGCTCCCTTGTTTCACCTGAAATACATTAATCAGTCACCACTGTAGTTGAAGTGTATGTCTATATCTGTCATACACTGTAGTTCATAAAGCACTTTGAGAAAAGGCTGTCTTGTATAAACTACTATATTCTTGTGCATTTTATCCATATAGAGATGTGTTTGCCTTTGGTGCTCTACAAGACACAGAAGACATGCTCCCCCACCCCCAAAAAAAACCAATAATGCATCAATGAAGTTTTCTATTCTGATCAAATCACTGGAACTTAAATTTGAACGTAATTTAGCTGTTTAAAAAAAAAAAACACAAGCCACCATTGGAGAAGAATCTAAATTCACAAAATCTTGACCCAGAACATTTGCTTGAGGTAATAGCAAAACTCATCCAAAACCTCATGAAAATAGATATTGCACATGATCCTGTTTATTTATGTTAAAAGGAGTTCTAGTATTCTCATGTGCAAAATCAGAAAAGGACAACAATGCCAGCACTATTATAGTTGCTCTTGGCGTCCTAAAGTAAAACAGCTTTTATCTACAAAGTCAACAAGCTCCTGTTTATTTTCCTGATAAGAGATCCACCCTACAAGCACATCAGAAAGAGTCTGTCTTCTAAAGAAAGCATTCAGACAGAAGGGAAATGAAAAGATCATATGGGGGTGGGGGAGATTAAGAAGTGAGAAGACATGCAAGTCATGCAGAGTGAAAATTATCTCAAGTGACCATTCATAGGGCTAACAAAGCAATTGCTTAACACAGATCCTCTAATAAAAGTGGAACACTTTGGGAGATTGTGTTAGCTAGGCAGTGTCCTGTCTTTTGTAAAACATTCACTGTATTTCAGAGGTTCTTACCAGCACTGTTGCTTACATTACCCCCCAAAAAAGTTGCCAAAACCACAGCTTGTTCTTCATTCTTCTTGCAGCTGAACAGTTCAAGCTCCAGTTTAGCTGCAATGGATGCTGACACCAGTTGTTAGCAATGGATAATTTTCACAGTGTCATACACTGGTTTTCAAACAGTGGTCTGTACCAAAGACAAAGCTTAAGAACTCCGTAAGCCTACAGAATCAAGCTGTTAAGTCAGTGGACAAGTACAACTTCTATAAAATATTCCAGAGGAATCTCTTCTTTAAGTATCACCATACCAGAGACAATTCAAATGACATTTAGGCTTATTTAAAATTGGAAGAAATAATAAGGGGCTCTCAAGTACCCCCAGCTGCAATTTCTGTGATGCCAACTACGAAAAATGAGATAAAGTATTTAAAAAAACCCAACATCCACAAATATAGTATTCAATATAAGTGAATGAGACACTATTAGCCTCTATAGAAAGGGAGCAAAAAAATCAACAAATTCTGTTGTTTCGGCAAAGTTGCATTTTAAGTTAAAGAGAAAAGAAAGACACCAGGATCACACACTATTAAGAGAAGGAATAGGTTGTATACATTCTGCTTGAAATCAACCAGCTGATGTGTGGGTTTTGTTTTTTTAATTTGGCACTCTGCTTGGAAAAATAAACAGTGGCAAAAAGTTGCAAAGATTCAGGCTTCCTGCATGTATGTGTTTACTGTGGTAGCTTTCAAATGGACACAAATTACAAAGTGATATGAAACTACAGTGCTGATCCTGTAAGACCATGTTGTCCAAGCCGCTAGCCAAATGTGGCTATTTGGCTGGCTGAGTGTGGCTAGTTCGCTATAGCAGCAGGACACCACGGCTCTAAGAGGATCCACAAGACCAGATTCTTATTCCCACAGAGAGTCTTACTGATTTCAATGTGATTCTATAATTTGTGCTTCCAGAACCCTTTATTGACGTGGGGATTCTAACGGTAAGTAGATATGAGAAATACTTAATAAACTGGTATCACAAGGAAGGACTGTAAAGGATGGGAATGTATTGTTTACAAAGGCTGATTCTATTTAAGTTGTCCTACAATTTTTTTTTTTTTTTAAGACTTTGCTCATAAAGATGAGTCCCATCATGTCCACTAGACACTGAGGAACAACAAGTCTCTGCTTCTGTTCTGCACCATAAATCAATGGAGTTATAGCAATTAGTGTAAATTGGCCTGTTTGCTTTTCTACATCCATCTCTCTCTAAAATTTTTCACAAGTGATCTACTCAAATATTTGGATGTGCCCAGAAAGACATTAGATCAAAAGATAAAGACTTGCACTTCTCTTTTTTAAGGCAGTTTAAAAAAATGTGGACAAACGTTTGGAAAACACATTTATGCAAGTCTAAAATAAAGAACATAAGTATATTTAAGCTCACCTTCATTGTGGCTTCTTCTACAGCAAAACGCTCTGCACCAAAACCAGTTTAACTCAAGAATAACAGGAAGTAAAAAAGCCTTAAGTTTCCTGTTATGCTGAGACTTATATGGGATACTGGGAACAATTTAATTGGGTCATCCCAGGATGAACTATGTCATCTAGAAACTGTAACTAGGAAGTACATCTAGTCTGAATGACTTCGCAGGAAGGCAGACAGACAATGAGAGGCTAAAGGAAGGTTTTGCTTGTGAGTAATATATAATGTTACTTGAAGCACAGAAGCCCTTATAAAGGCTGTCTAGCCATAACAAAAACACTGCCATTAAACTGTTCAGTAAAGAATGGTTACTTACCTCGTAACTGTGATTCTTCGAGATGTGTTGCTCATGTCCATTCCAATATAGTGTGTGCACGCAGCGCGCGCACACTGTCAGAAATTTTTCCCTCAGGGCCAGCAGGGAGCCCCCTGAAGTGACGCCGGTATGACAGCCCATATATACTCCTGCTGGCCTCCTCACCCACTCAGTTCCTTCTTACCAGCATACTCTGGATAAAGGGTGGTGGGTG